CGTTAGGAGGGAGGTAGTGGGAGTTAACTCCACAAATGGAAGCGTCGTATCACAACAAAACCACAGTGAACAGTGGTTAACATCACGCAAGTCCACTTCAAGATTTTAAAATTCAATTTTCGATTTCCCTCACAATTTAAGCTCCTGACGAAGTACTGGTGACAGTGTAAAAGGCCCTGAGCTGTTATTCAACCCTCTTTCCCCTTTGTTGCTTTGTGATTTAACGGCTGGTTTGCGATTGTTTGTACGGTCATACGTGGATATGACAGAGCTGGTACCACGAGTTGGATCACAAGACCCACAAACCTAACTAGGTAAGTATAGGTATACAATTATAATCATAAATATACAATTATAACTAGGTGAGGGTAACCAGGTGAATATAATGAATACAGCACAAATACAGAGGCCTTTTACGAGTTGCTACTGACGTCGGGGGTCCTCCCCAACCCTTGACCTCTTATTGACTCTCTCACCTTACTCTCACCTCCTCCTCCTCCTCCTACTTGATGATAAATTAGACACATGTGCAACTCTTGGGTATCTTTATTGAGGAAACGTTTCGCCACACAGTGGCTTCATCAGTCCATACAAAGGAGAATCCTTTGTATGGACTGATGAAGCCACTGTGTGGCGAAACGTTTCCTCAATCAAGATACCCAAGAGTTGCACATGTGTCTAATTTATCAACATGTCGGTTCTCTGAACCATTCATCTACTCCTCCTACTTGTCTTTCTTTTGCTCCTTTCACTGGGGTGAGCATACGACTCTCAATTGCTAGATCCCGGGTCCGATTCCCTCACACGAAGAAACATATGGGCAAGTTTAATTACGTTTCCTGTTGCCCTTGACCACCTGGTACTGAAAATAGGAACCTGTCTGCTAGCTCATTGTTGTGTGTAGCATCCAGGGGGGAAAAACAATGTTAAAAACTTCCAGATTTGCTGCGTGTAAGAAACTCTAGGTCTGCTGGGTGTTAAAAAAAACTCAGGTCTGCTGGATGTATTCTAGTGTTATATACAGGGTGTGTGTGTATATATAATGATAAAGAAAAAATGTATCTCTCACTTTGAATTCTCCCACTCCCAAACCACTCACCAGCACGTAAGTTAAATGTGAGAAACCTGGGAGCGATAATATTACAAAGTTTCACGTTCACTGTGCACAACAATGTTGTTATTGCAACTGCAAGAGAAATAATTGGTTGGATAACTAGAACTTTCGAAACAAGCACTACTAAGCCAATGAAGATACTCATCAGCTCACTCATTCTCTCTAGGCTGGAACATTGCTGTGTGCTAACTACCCCTTTCAACACAGATGAAACTGATGAGGTGGATAATGTACAGAGAACCTTCACAGTTCTCGCAAACTCAGTCAAGCGCCTAAATTACTGGGAGCACTTAGTCCCTCTTGCATACTCCTTAGAACGTAGGCGAGAAAGGTACATCATAATCTACACCTGCAAGATAATGGAGGAATTTATGCCAAACCTGCACACCGAAATAACTATACATAAATAAAAGATGGTTGGAAAACGGTTCAGGATACCTCCAATGAAAAGCCGGGGAGCGATGGGTACAGTGAGTGTACTCAATAAGTGTTAATTAAGGAACCGCGACTCAACACACTCCCGTCATGCATATGGGGGATCGCTAACAAACTCTTACCTGTCTTCAAGAGGGAGCCCGACAGATTCCTCAAAACAGTTCCTCGTCAACCGCGTTGTGGTGCATTCCTTGGACTGAGGCTGCGTACACTAACAGCTTGATCGATCAGGCCAGCAAACAGGAAGCCTGGTCTGGGACTGGGCCGCGGGGGTAATGAGCTCTGAAAGAGACTCCAGCCTCCCAATGATCACTTCCTTGTGTAAGCTCTCCTTCCATCTCCCATCCTGCATTTTCACTTCTCAAGCATTTTTATCTCGTTCTTATCCTCCCTACTTCCTTCCCCCCATCACCCCCTCTCCCTCCCTTCCTTCTTCCCTCTTGCCCATCCGCTGAACCTCCCGCGCTCGCCTGCTCGTAATATCCAAGTGATAATAACTCCAACTCTACCGGACAGAAACCTTTGAAGTTGTCTTAGCTACTAAGCCCACACTGGAATACTTGACGATTCCCTGTCTAGTATGGACCGGTAGCCCTCTTGCAGTCTTCTCCATTCTTATGTTTTTTTAAGTTCTTATCCTCATCACCCTAATCAAGTTTCCCAGCTCAGGCTGACTCATTTCATTACCTAGTGTATGTAACCCATCTTGCGTGATGGAATATGACAGGGGAAACAGCTAGCGTTTGTTCCCACTATGTAACAATCATACAGAGTAGGGGAGCAACACGCTGCTGCTCCCCTACTGCAGGGTAAACACCGGGTAAGAGAGGAGTGGTGAAGAATTAGATACACGTGCAACATCTGGGTTTCTTTATTTATAGACGTTTCGCCACTCAGTGGCTTTATCAATACAAGGACATAATGTAAAGAATGCACAACTATACACAAAAGATTGATGAGGTTATCGGTCCCTCAGCCTCGGAGTTGGTGAAGAGTACCGTAGTCTTGAGGAATCTTTCAAAACTACGGCGCTCTTCACCAACTCCAAGACTGAGGGACTGATTACTTCATGTTTTGTATATAATTCTACATATTATGTCCTTGTATTGATAAAGCCACTGGATGGCGAAACGTCTACAAATAAAGATACTCAGATGTTGCACTTGTATCTAATTCTTCATCATGTCGGTACTGTATACTATTCATGTACAAAGAGAGTGGATATAAATAACTAGAGAGAAACGACAGCATTAAATAGCGCGTGAGAGAAGCATGAACACAATTTGCAGGACAAGGTTTGAGTCAGTGTATCGACAAAGGTCTACTTCGACTTGAAAAAGCTCTACTTCGACTTGACAAAGCTCTAGACAGAGTGCAACGCTGTCACAACAAAAGCTCATTCTGCAGCTCGTGCCTTTGTCTTACAGAGAAAGAAGAGCTGTGGTGGGCCAACACTGCTGACGCCTCGTCGCCAGCTCTACCTTATGTAAACAACGCCAGGAAAAGTTAATTTTTACACCAGCCGCAACGAGACGTTCTTTGTGCACGCCTTTATTGTTTGACCACTCTCCATCCCTGACTTTGTTCCTCCTCACGCATCTTACTCTCCTTTCCTCTTCTCACATCCTTCTCTCTTCCTCCTTCCATCCTCTCGCATCTTTTCCTCCTTCCCTTCTCTCATATCCCTTTTCTACTTTCATACATCCTTTTTTTCTGTATATACCTCTATTACCTATTAAATTTGTTATTTTTCATCCTTCACCTCCCTCCTCCGCCGATACTACTATTATTACTAGTACTACTCTTACTAATATTACTACTATTACTACTACTACTACTACTACTACTACTACTACCATATTTCCCTGGCTCTGAGTCTCGGACAGCTGACGTAATTATTTCTCTGGGATCAAAGGAAGTGTCCAGGGATTAAATGGATCAGCAGCAGCAGCAACAACAACTGTAGCAGCAGCAGAAGCAGTTTTCCCCATAAGACATATACCCTTCAGATTGTTGGGAGAAGCAGGAACCAGACTTAACTTTACTAGTGCTTCTCATTCTCCTTTTATTTTTTTCCCTTATCCTTCTCATCCCTTTTGTCTCCTCTTCCTCCTTATCATCCTGCTGCTGCTTCCTCCGTCGTGAAGCCCCAGATAACTCTCAAACAATCTTCTTCTGAAGGTTTCCGCAGGATCACACAGGCGCCTCACAAGTGACGACCAAAGTTAAATTCCCCAATTACATTTTTTCTCCCGAATCCTTAAGACAATGATATTATTCTTGCAAGGAGGAGGAGGTGGAGACAGAGGAGGAGGAGGAGAAGGAAGAGGAGGAATAAGCGACTGAGGTGGGGGAGATGGTGATAAAGGTGGCAGGTGATGACTGAGGAACATTAAGAGGCGCGTGAGTTCCCCTGTTTTCTAATGTTATTTTTGTCCTATAATCTACCTCGTCCATAATTACTATCGCATTTACTTGGTCTGCTTTCGTATGGTGAAGTCTAAGATCTTTCCTTAATTCATGGTATAACCTAACAAATCTTTGAGAACAGTTGTGTTGCAGAGATCTGAGCAAAGGTCAGACCTCTGCAACACAATTGTCCTCAAAGATTAGTTAAGTTATACCATGAATTAAGGAAAGATCTTAGACTTCACCATACGAAAGCAGACCAAGTAAATGCGATAGTAATTATGGACAAGGTAGATTATAGGACAAAAATAACATATTAGAAAACAGGGAAACTGACGTGCCCATTAAGGAGGTGGGTGGTGCAGGAGGTGGGTGGTGCAGGAGGTGGGTGGTGCAGGAGGTGGAAATGTTTTAGTTGTGAGAAGTATCTCATAGGTTAGAGGTTAAGACAGTTCATCAACTTTTGCAGTCTGTTCCCTTCTTCCCTCCTTCGTTCCTTCCCTCCCTCCCTTCTTCCCTCCTTCGTTCCTTCCCTCCCTCCCTTCTTCCCTCCTTCCCGGCTACATCCTAATAAACAAAGATTCATAAAAGTCTAGCACTGTAGTCGGAAGCCCAGCTTGAAGCTTATTAATTAAAACTTGATACGAACGACACAGGCTGCAGAGAAGCTTTTATCGGGACACATGTCTCTGTAAAGAGCTTTATTAAGTCATCGCTTCACAAAGCTCCACACACTGACACTTTCTTCTCAATAAAAGCTTCTTGTGCAGGTCAGCCTTTTCTTCAATTTTCTCGGCTGTAAACCATTCGGATTCAGTTCAAACTTTATTATCCCGCTGACCACCCGGCATAGTCGTTCACCCGCCCCGACCGACCACCTGCCTTGGTCGTTCACCCGCCCCGACCGACCACCCACATCAAACTCCTTCTGAATTTCGCCATTCTTCTTAGTACAGGACTGATGAAGCCACTGTGTGGCGAAACGTTTCCTCACTAAAGATACCCAAGTGAAGCACATGTGTAATTAATCAACTATAGTTACCTCCTGTGTGAGAGCTGGGGTGGCACCTGCAGCCAGGTGCACGACAGATGATGACTCGAGGACCGGTGGGTGCAGGACAGGTCACACCACAGGTGACCTCGGGGTGCCGGGTCACGTGTGCAGGTGTACGACAGGTGTACACTCAGATGACCCCGGGGAGCCGGCTGTGGTTCCGGCTACCAACCTGTAGCACAGAGGAGAGAGAATTATAACAATGTGTAGCACACAGAGAAGAGATCAGACACTGTGTAACACACAGAGGTCAGACACTGTAACACACAGAGGTCAGACACTGTGTAACACACAGAGGTCAGACACTGTGTAACACACAGAGGTCAGACACTGTGTAACACACAGAGGTCAGACACTGTGTAACACACAGAGGTCAGACACTGTGTAACACACAGAGGTCAGACACTGTGTAACACACAGAGGTCAGACACTGTGTAACACACAGAGGTCAGACACTGTGTAACACACAGAGGTCAAACACTGTGTAACACACAGAGGTCAGACACTGTGTAACACACATAGGTCAGACACTGTGTAACACACATAGGTCAGACACTGTGTAACACGCAGAGGTCAGACACTGTGTAACACGCAGAGGTCAGACACTGTAACACACAGAGGTCAGACACTGTGTAACATACAGAGGTCAGACACTGTGTAACACACAGAGGTCAGACACTGTGTAACACACAGAGGTCAGACACTGTGTAACACACAGAGGTCAGACACTGTAACACACAGAGGTCAGACACTGTGTAACACACAGAGGTCAGACACTGTAACACACACAGGTCACTAACACACAGAGGTCAGACACTGTGTAACACACAGAGGTCAGACACTGTGTAACACACAGAGGTCAGACACTGTGTAACACACAGAGGTCAGACACTGTGTAACACACAGAGGTCAGACACTGTGTAACACACAGAGAAGTCAGACACTGTAACACACACAGGTCACTGTAACACACAGGTCAGACACTGCGTAACACACAGAGGTCAGACACTGTGTAACACACAGAGGTCAGACACTGTGTAACACACAGAGGTCAGACACTGTGTAACACACACAGGTCAGACACTGTGTAACACACAGAGGTCAGACACTGTGTAACACACACAGGTCAGACACTGTAACACACACAGGTCAGACACTGTGTAACACACAGAGGTCAGACACTGTAACATACAGGTCAGACACTGTAACACACAGAGGTCAGACACTGTAACACACAGAGGTCAGACACTGTGTAACACACAGAGGTCAGACACTGTAACATACAGGTCAGACACTGTAACACACAGAGGTCAGACACTGTGTAACACACACAGGTCAGACACTGTGTAACACACAGAGGTCAGACACTGTAACACACACAGGTCAGACACTGTGTAACACACAGAGGTCAGACACTGTAACACATAGAGGTCAGACACTAACACACAGAGGTCAGACACTGTGTAACACACAGAGGTCAGACACTGTAACACACACAGGTCAGACACTGTGTAATACACACACGTCAGACACTGTGTAACACACAGGTCAGACACTGTGCAACACGCACAGGTCAGACACTGTGTAACACACAGGTCAGACACTGTGTAACACGCACAGGTCAGACACTGTGTAACACACAGGTCAGACACTGTGTAACACACAGGTCAGACACTGTGTAACACGCACACGTCAGACACTGTGTAACACACAGGTCAGACACTGTGTAACACACAGGTCAGACACTGTGTAACACGCACAGGTCAGACACTGTGTAACACACAGGTCAGACACTGTGTAACACACAGGTCAGACACTGTGTAACACACACAGGTCAGACACTGTGTAACACACAGGTCAGACACTGTGTAACACACACAGGTCAGACACTGTGTAACACACAGGTCAGACACTGTGTAACACACACAGGTCAGACACTGTGTAACACAGGTCAGACACTGTAACACACACAGGTCAGACACTGTGTAACACACACAGGTCAGACACTGTGTAACACACAGGTCAGACACTATGTAACACACAGGTCAGACACTGTGTAACACACAGGTCAGACACTGTGTAACACACACACGTCAGACACTGTGTAACACACACAGGTCACTGTAACACACAGGTCAGACACTGTGTAACACACACAGGTCAGACACTGTGTAACACACATTAAAGAGGGTTACACTGTGTAATGTAGTTACACATACATTACCTGCAGTACATACAGTGTTGAGAAAGCCAGCATGATCGAGGTGGCAGGACGTGAGACTGAAAGAGGGAACGAGGGAGAAAACAATGAGGGAGAGAACGATGAGGGAGGGAGGGAGCGGCTAACAAGGAGTGAAGAGACAAAAAGTAATGGTAATAAGTATGTAAATTACCCCCCCTCCCCCCACGACACGAGGCACCACTTCGTTCACACACAAAAGGTATTTTGACTTTATAACAATAAACTTTTAGTTAAAACATTTTAATGTTAGCGGTAAGCAGAAAACAGTCCGAAAAATTTTTAAATTATCAATTTCGATTAAAAGTGTAATAATCTAAATACAGTGGACCCCCGGTTAACGATATTTTTTCACTCCAGAAGTATGTTCAGGTGCCAGTACTGACCGAATTTGTTCTCATAAGAAATATTGTTAAGTAGATTAGTCCATTTCAGACCCCCCAAACATACACGTACAAACGCACTTACATAAATACACTTACATAATTGGTCGCATTCGGAGGTAATCGTTATGCGGGGGTCCACTGTACTTAGCTAAAAAATGAAGTTTGTCAGCTAAAGCCTCCAACTACTTCGGAAAAAATCCATCTACTCTATTTTTTCGTAAGAAAAATGTGCAGAAAGGGAGAGTGGTGAGGCAAAGGTGCGAGCAAATAAGTGGCAAGGGTGATGGAGGAGTAACAAGTAGGCAGGCAGTTCCTACTCATGACTCACGAAATCGTAATGACATGATTGCAAACAAGCCACGGTACGGGTGGGATTCGGACTCATGGCAAGTGAGTTGTAAAACTCCAGGCCAGTGCGTAAACCACTGGGCCAGCTGGCTACAATAAGATTTATTCAACTAGGTGTATATTTATATACCATAGGAAGGTTAGCATAGGTCCCTCAGTGGGTCCCAAGCTAACCTCCCTATGATGTATAAATATAGCAACACCTCCCTATGATGTACAAATATACCAACACCTCCCTATGATGTACAAATATACCAACACCTCCCTATGATGTACAAATATACCAACACCTCCCTATGATGTATAAATATACCAACATCTCCCTATGATGTACAAATATACACACACAATCAATCCATCAATCTTGAAAAGACTAATGGACTGATAACATCGACGCCAGGCTGAGGGACTGATTACCTCTAACTCCTTCTGATCTTCGCCATTCTTCTTTGTACAGGACTGATGAAGCCACTGTGTGGCGAAACGTTTCCGCAATAAAGATACCCAAGTGTTGCACATGTGTGTAATCCACTCCAGGATTATCAAGACTGAGGGAGTGAAAACCACCTTACAAGACTGAGTGAGTGTGACCTGCACCAGGTATATACATACTCCCTGACATCTATTACAATCACTCACATATCTGAAAAGACACCCTTGACATTATCAGGTAGAGCTGGTGCCCACCTATAAATGTTAAATGCTACCCTGGAGAGCCTTACCCTGGAGAGTGCTACCCAAGGGAGTACTTCACGAGCACTTAACCCACCTTCAACATTAAAGGTAACATTAAAAAAAAAATCCACTAACATTACCACCAAACCACCACCAGACCGCACGCACTCACGCCGCACACACACACACACACACACACACACACACACACACACACACACACACACACACACACACACACACACACACACACACTTTAATGGATCAGAGAATACCTGACAGGGAGGCAACAACGAGTCATGGTACGTGATGAGGTATCACAGTGGGCACCTGTGACGAGCAGGGTCCCATAGGGGTCGGTCCTAGGACCAGTGCGATTTTTTGTATATGTGAATGACATGATGGAAGGGATAGACTCAGAGGTGTACCTGTTCGCAGATGATGTGAAATTAATGAGGAGAATTAAATCAGATGAGGATCAGGCAGGCCTTCAAAGAGACCTGGACAGGCTGGACACCTGGTCCAGCAACTGGTTTCTCAAATTCAACTCTGCCAAATGTAAAGTCATGAAGATTGGAGAAGAGCAAATAACACCGCAGAGTATAGATTAGGTGGCCAACGACTGCAATCCTCGCTCAAGGAGAAAGATCTTGGCGTGAGTATAACACCGAACACGTCTTCGGAAGAACACAACCAGATAACTGCTGCAGCATATGGGCGCCTGGCAAACCTGAGATTAACATTCCGATACCTAGGTAAGGAATCTTTCAAGACACTGTACACCGTGTACGTCAGGCCCATACTGGAGTATGCAGCACCAGTTTGGAACCCGCACCGGCTCAAGCACGTTAAGAAATTAGAGAAAGTGCAAAGGTTTGCGACAAGGTTAGTTCCAGAGTTAAGGGGAATGTCCTATGAAGAAAGGTTGAGGGAAATCGGCCTGACGACACTGGAGGACAGGAGGGATAGGGGAGAAATGATAACGACATACAAAATACTGCGTGGAATACAAAGGTGGACAGAGACAAGATGTTCCAGAGAGGGGACACAGAAACAAGGGGTCACTCTTGGAAGCTGAAGACTCAGATGAGCCACAGGGATGTTAGGAAGCATATCTTCAGTCATAGAGTGGTCAGGAAGTGGAACAGGCTGGCGAGCGATGTAGTGGAGGCAGAAACCATACATAGCTTGAAGACGAGGTATGATAAAGCTCATGGAGCAGGGAGAGAGAGAACCTAGTAACGTTCAGTGAAGAGGTGGGGCCAGGAGCTGAGTCTCGACCCCTGAAACTACAATCAGGTGAGTACAATTAGGTGAGGTGAGTACACACACACACACACACACACACACACACACACACACACACACACACACACACACACACACTCCCAGCTTAAAGTGAGAGTTGTGGCAGGTTAATGTGAAACATACGTGGTAGACAGTAACGTGAAACAGAGGTGGTAGATGGTAGACAGCAATGTGAAGCATAGGTGGAAGATAGTAGACAATGTGAAACAGATGGTA